TTTCGGGAGGTTTGGGCCCAAAGACTTTGTCAAAAGGTGGCTATTAGCTCTTTTATAGCACCGAAGCACTATTTTGCCGATTTATTGATGAATTACTGAAAAAAAAAACCTAGACTTTGATTGCCCGTTTTTGAGTTTGTACAGAAAAGGCCAATTTCCCATTGGTAAGTTCTAGTGTTGCAGGTCGCAAGAAATCTTGTCTTGCTCGGCTATTTCTTGTCTTGTCTTGTTAAGCAAGACAAGAAATTTCCAATTTCTTGTTCTCGCAAATTTCTTGCAAGCCTATTTCTTGTTCTTGCTGCAAGACTCTTGCTATTTCTTGTTCTTGCTTTATAAAAAGTTCCTACATAGATTTTAGATTTGTTATAGTCCCTTTTCAAAGAGCAAGTTAAGTTTCAAAATATAATTAAACTTTTTCGTAAAAACTGGAACGTTTTTTATTACGAAGAGCGAATCTTGATCTTAACGCCATCTAGGACACGATAATCAACACTACACGCAATTTTGCTGTGCAAAATGGTGAACGTTCCAAAGGCAGACCAAAATTCAGTTCGTTTGGGTTTCACCCAAAAGTACCACTGTTTGAGAAAAGTTTTTGGATTAATTTTCTCCGCTTTTCCATCCATAGACGCGTTTCGACCTATATCAGGTTTCATCAGTATGGCTAGGAAAAGCGAAGAAAACCAATCCAATTTTGGTCTGCCTTTGGAACGTTCACCATTTTGCACAGCAAAATTGCGTGTAGTGTTGATTATCGTGTCCTAGATGGCGTTAAGATCAAGATTCGCTCTTCGAATTTCTTGCATTTGCCTTTAGGCGAAAAATTGGATTCAGTGTTACCAGATTGGGGGATTTTCCCCCAAATTTGGGGGATTTTCAAGTAGATGGGGGAAAATCTGGGGGATAGTTTTTTCTGGGGGATTTTTTGGGGGTAAGATTTGCAAGAATTTTCGCTATTGGGAGAAATCGGGTATATTTCAATGAATAAAACTAAAGTGAAAAATGTATTAAAACAACTGCGCGATCTATTTTTTCAATCAAGTACCAATAAAAAAGATACAGTTTGCTTCTTCTCCAGTGTTGCCAATGGGCGGATTTTAATCCGATTTGCGGATTTTTTTTGGACGATCGGATTTTTTTCGGATTTTGTAATTCAGAGGATTTTTTGTGGATTTTTTTAGATAAAACGAATAAGGGCATGAAATCCCTCCAAAGCACAAAAAGCCAACATGGCTGCTATGGCAGTATGCAACAAAAGCGTTTGGTGTAGTTTTGAGGTTATGACAGTGCGTTTTTATTGAAAAACAACTTCCAAAAACGCATTTATTAGGCAACTTTTCGCGAGGATAATCAAGCATAATCTGATTAGCTGAGTTATCTGATGTGTCAATTGTGTCATACTTCCCTAACTCTCAAACTCTTTCTCCATCAAATGCCTGCGAGTGACTCAGCAGGTTATACTGATGACGTCACCCGCAGACCTCGATGGAATGCTTGCGATTCAGGATATGCTAGTGAGTTCATTTTTTCGTCGATTTTTCCCAGAATTTAATGGTGGGGGACCTTGGGGTTGTTCTCAGAAAAATATAAACAAATAAAAAAGTGGTAAGGGTATGAGTTTTATTTTAAAATATTCAACGAATTTGTCTTTTTTTTTTTGCAAGTATGAGTCGAGAATAAATCTATATTTATTTGGGGGATTTTAGTTTACAAACAGGGATTTTTGGGGTATTTTTGAAATCCTTTGGGGGAAATTAGTTATAACCATCTGGCAACCCTGATTGGATTGGTTTTCTTCGCTTTTCCTAGCCATACTGATGAGACCTGATATAGGTCGAAACGCGTCTATGGATGGAAAAGCGGAGAAAATTAATCCAAAAACTTTTCTCAAACAGTTTTTTATTACATTAGAAGATTACATCAGACAAGTCGACGAAATTAAATGTTTAATGAAACTGTTTGATTTTCGAAAGTTTAGTCATTATATTGGAACTACAAGAAATATTTTTGATCAAGGGAAAACCTATTTAGTCGTGTTCAGCACACTTCTTTGTGAGCACTGAATGAAACTGAGTCGTCACGCTCGGATATGTAACGCTCATTCGGGTACAGTCGGCTCGAATCTACTTCAGCCAAGCGAGAGAGAGAGAAACAGTCATCACCGAGGGGTGTCTCACGCTGTTAAATTTTATACACCTATTTCCTTTTTGGAAATGTTTTTCTGATATTGCCCATAATTTCGGAAATTTCCTGAATATTTAGAATTTTCATAAGTATTTCCTATTATTTCTAAAATTTTCTAAATAATTTATGAAACTTCCTGAATTCCCCAAATAATTACTAGTTTCCTATGAAATTTCTGACATTTCCGAAACAAAAATTAATAATTTTCAAAATTTCTGAGAGATTTTTATCTAATTCCTCCCCAAAATTTCCGAACATCTCTACAATATTCACTGTAGTTTTCTAGAAATGATCATTTTTTGCTTTGCTGAAATACCTATGTAAAGTACATGGTGGTCACAAAAGTTGGCTGTTGGATCCCGTTTGTCACTCTTTGAAAGAAGACCTTCAACTGTTTTACTTTTCAATTGTCAATCTAGAGGGCATCAAATGGATTAGAAATGGTATTTTCTCTATTAAATTGTACTTACATGATGAAATTCTATACTCGATTCTATATTTGAAACCCCAATAAATGATTTTGCAAAGTTTGGAGTGACCGTGGAACTGTTTGTGAAAACAGTTGGTAATTATATAATTGCTCGTCATAAGTTTATTTTTTGAAATTTTTTATTTTGCTTAGGCTTGGTTTATTCATCTTCAGATAAACTTGCTGACTAGCTTGTTGGTAATTATCTATACGATAAGTTTACCCATTTCATAATCCTATTTTTCAAGGAATAACTGGCCAACCGATGGGATTACAAATTGCGTTTTATCCGTCAGATTGGATTACCTGACGGTTTATCAGAAGGTGAATAAACCAGCCCTTAGTGTTAAAACATAAGAGCAGTTTATCAAGTAAGATCAAATGCAAGGTTAGGTTAGTTGACTTTAGAGCTAAAACTAATGATTGGTTTACGGTAATCTAGAATACAGGGGTTTAAACTAACCTAAACCTGCATTTGATATTATTATCTAATTGATAAAAAAAAAACCTTTTAAGGAAATTAAAACAAAAACAAATATAATACTGTATAAATACCAAGTATACTATACATGTAATTACTTTTCAAACAACTTAGGTATGTATAATATTGTTCCACAATATTGAGGGTATATTATTTCTTTGTATTATCAATTGACCTTTTCCTAAAAGTTGAACAGGTTTACTGGACCATAAACAATAAATTGAATCTGAACCTCAGCATAGGCTAAGTAGGCCATACGAATGTGTCTCATTCCCTTTTCAAGGGCTTGAAGTTCCTTGGCACTCAGGGTCATTTTTAAGGAGATTTTTTACCTCTTTTGGAAAAGTTTATCCTATCTTCTGGAACAATGTCAGAACTAACTAATAAATAGTACAACGGTCGAAATTTGATCGTGGCGCCATCTAAGACAAAACTTCAACACCAAGCAGCAATTTTCGCTGCAATATGGTGACTGAGTAATCTAATCGGCCAACCAAATTTCAGTTCGTGGGGAAACCCAGAATAGGAAAACCTATTATCCACTGATGAGAAAATATTTGGTTTGATTTTCCATGCTTTTCCATCCATAGACGCGTTTCAACCTATCAGGTCTCATCAGTATGGCTAGGAAAAGCAAAGAAAACCAAACCAAGTTTCGTGCCTGTAGGCAATATATACATAGTACAACGGTCGAAATTTGATCGTGGCGCCATCTAAGACAAAACTTCAACACCAAGCAGCAATTTTCGCTGCAATATGGTGACTGAGTAATCTAATCGGCCGATTAGATTACTCAGTTTTGTCTTAGATGGCGCCACGATCAAATTTCGACCGTTGTACTATGTATATATTGCCTACAGGCACGAAACTTGGTTTGGTTTTCTTTGCTTTTCCTAGCCATACTGATGAGACCTGATAGGTTGAAACGCGTCTATGGATGGAAAAGCATGGAAAATCAAACCAAATATTTTCTTAACTAATAAATGTTCACTTTTATTATGTTTTCCCTCATGTCTTTCTCGGTGTTTTCCAATTACCATATTAAAATGATCTACTGAAATTATGTAATCTCCATTATCTAATGACCAATAATTTTTTTCTCAATAGGCGATTTTCTAATTTGGCCCCAATATGAAAAGTATCTTGAATGTAGCATTCAAATCCATTCAAGTCTAAGTGGATCCAATTCCAGAAGGTTTTTCCTTGACAGTTGTTAAAATTTTCAAACATTAACATAAATATTAAACTGATTATTCTTTTAAATTTGGACCTGTAAATCATTAAGTGAAATTTTGGGAGAAATTCCTTGATAAAAATGAATGTCCAAAATCCAACGCAAAACTAGATTATTAAAAAATTTCCAATTATTAGTGCTTCTCATAATAAGAATGTAAATCTCAATGACGTCATGACCCTACAATTTCCTTGAAATACCTCATACATTTCTCACAAATTCCTCAAAATTTACTGAAAATTACTCCAAATTTCCCATAAATTTCTTCGAATGTTCTCTACCTCAATTCCCCACATATTTGGCAAAGAATTCCTTGGAAAATACAGTCTCACACAATTCAAAGTTTTCTTGGAAAACTAATTGAGGGTAAAATTAAAACTTTTTGCATGTGAAGGGAAGGTTAGGAGGTCAATTTCCCAAAATTTCATATTTTTTCAGGGGAAAATAACAACATGAAAAATCTGGGAAATCAACTTAGAAAAAGTGAATTAATCGAAAATACAATTTCACACATTTCAAAGTTCTCCTGGAAAACTAATTGAGGAAAAATGTTGAAACTTTTTCTATACTAGGAGGAAAGTTAGGAGCTCATTTTCCCATAATTTCAATTTTTTCTAGTGGAAAATAACAACATGAAGAATTCTGGAAATCAGCCTACAAAAACTGAATTATTTGAAAATACAGTCTCACACATTTCAAAGTTTTCCTGGAAAACTAGTGAAGGGAAAAATTTGAAATTTTTGCATGTGAAGAAGAAAACTAGATCATTTTCCCAAAATTTCAAATTTTTCCATTGGAAAATATGTAACAACATTATTGGCGAATCTTGGAAAACAGCCTACAAAAACTGAATTATTTGAAAGACAGTCTCACACAATTCAAAATTTTCCTGGAAAACTAGTAAAGGTAAAAATTTGAAACTTTTTGCATGTGAAGAGAAAGGTAAGGAGCTCATTTTCCGAGTCATTTTCCCAAAATTCCAAATTTTTCCAGTGGAAAGTAACAACATGACGAATCTTGGAAATCAGCCTACAAAAACTGAATTAATCGGAAGACAGTCTCACACAATTCAAAGTTTTCCTGGAAAACTAGTGAAGGGGAAAAATTTGAAACTCTTTGCATGTGAAGAGGAAGGTAAGAAGTTCATTTTTCCAAAATTTGAAATATTTCCAATGAAAAATAACAACATGAAGAATCTTGGAAATTAGCTTACAAAAACTAAATTAATTAAAACTACAGTTTCACACATTTCAAAGTTTTCCCGGAAGACTGATAAAGGGAAAAATTTGAAACTTTTTGCATGTAAAGAGGAAGATTAGGAGCTCATTTTTCCAAAATTTATAAATTTTTCCAGTGGAAAATAACAGCATGCAAAATATTGAAAATCAACTAACAATAACTGAATTAATTGAGAATACAGTCTCACACATTTCACAGTTCTTCTAGAAAACTAGTAAAGGGAAAAATTTGAAACTTTTTGCATTTAAAGAGGAAAGTTAGAAGCTCATTTTACCATAATTTTATATTTTTCGCAGTAGAAAATGCATGAAGCTTGACTTCTATAGTTTATGAGATTTGTTTATACATAAATATTGTTTCACGTGGGTTCGTACTTTTTGCCTTCCTTTTTTAACAAATAGAAATTGACTGAAACAAATCAATGACGTCAAAAACGTTCGTCGGTTCTTGAACCAGAAGTCATTCATTTTAATTTGTCGAAAAAATTGAATGTGTCTTATGAATTAATCTACGACAACCCTTTTTTTTCTTCAAGTTATGACTTGTTCGATGTCAAAAGTATGAACTCTCGTGAAACGATCTGTACCTTTATTTTATTAGCAGTTAGATATTTTTATTCACAAAACACCGAACAGGAACTAAACAGTATTCGAAACACAAAAATTCTCAAGATTTCTGGTGAAAATTTCCTAATTTCCTATAATAATTTCAGTAAATTTTCTATAATTTTGAGAATTAACATAATTTGTGACAAATTACAGGAGATTTCTGTAATTTCTCAACACTCCTCCAATGAAAGGTCCTATTCATGTACCAAACTTTATACAGGATGTTCGGCACATGAGTAGACATACGTAAATCTGAGATAGGTGGGGCCGTCTGCTATGCGTTCCACCCAGATTTTTTGACCTGGGCCCTAAGAATTTTTTTTTTGAATTTTTCAATTTTTTTTTTTCAAAATTTTCAATAAATAATGGAGGGCGGCAATTCGAATAATTTTTATGAAAACATTATGAAATCAATATCATACTGTTTTATTAAGTAGCTCCTGTAAGTTTTAAACGCAAAAAATGCACTTACCTCAAAAGTAGATTTCGTAAAAAATACCCACCATTGATAAAGTTGACAAATAACTCTTGCCGTTTTTAGGCAAATTGTGGTTATTGTATATCATTCCAAAGGGGATGAATTGAAGATGTTTTTGACTAATTAGAAATACTCGATCATTTCTAGTTTTTTTTTTCAAATGCAATGCAAAGTTGGCTCTTATAATTATTTTTTACTTCTTTTTGTGGTTTGAGGGCCTGTATTTTTCTTTGTAGCTGTCATGGGCCCCAATTATTAAATTTGTATGATTCTAGAATTAGTCTAGATGAAAATAAAATAAAAATGTTGTCAGTTTCATGATTTTTCAAAAAGTTATTTCAGTTTAAAATCTGCAAATTGAAAATTTTGGAAAAAATTCTAAAAAAAAATTCTTAGGGCCCAGTCAAAAAATCTGGGTGGACTGCATGGCAGACGGCCCCACCTATCTCAGATTTAGGTATGTCTACTCATGTGCCGAACACCCTGTATAAGACCTAAAATTTCACTTCACACACTAGTGCATGAAGTATTATCAATGACAGATGTCGACACTGTCAATTGAGTTTTTTCCGAGTAAATTAGTTCACGCACTATACCGGGTGTTTTTCAAAATCGCTCACCCCTATAACTTTTTTATTTTTCCAAATAAACAAATGAAATCAGGTGTGTTTATTTATCACCCAGATGTGCTTTATTTGACGTATTCAATTATTTATTATCACTTCCGGTTTGACCGAAAGTGACTGTAACTTTCTTATTTGAAATGAGACGCCAGGTATATTTTTCCTTATTTCAATAGAAAACTACATCACAAGTACAATGACACCTCATTTGTCACTTTTTGACATTTCATCTCCAAATTATTTAAATTTTTTCTTTTTAATCTAGAGTGCCATGAATTAGTTAAAATGCTTAATTTTGCTCCAAGGAACCTGGGAAAATTTATTTTGATCTTATTTGGTATTTTATATTCTCAACAGACTCATTTAAAGATAGTAGAAGCGCATTTTTGGAATTATATCAATTTGTTCAAATTGGAACAGTGGCGTAACTTCAGATTTTGGACCTGGGGGCCGAGTGGTTTGGCGAGGCCCAATTACGATACACCAATGCAATATTCTATTTGTCTAAGAGCCAAATTATGGACCGGCTGGTAACATCTCTGGCAAATTTACCCTGCTGGTAAAACTAAAAATTGAATGTCCGGAAATAATTATTTCCCAAAAACCGCCTACCATCTTCCACGCTAACAGCTAACACTACCGAGGGCGATTTTACTTTTTGCGAAATACCTATATTTCCCAAAAAAAATTGGGTAGTAAATAGACAAGGATAATACACACTACTAAGAATAGGCTCCTTGCATCAAATTTTTTTATTGCTGATTTCGATAGTCCATGAATAATAAGTTAACACGTGTTTTTTCTTTTTCTTCTTAGTCAAAAATTGACGGAGATACAACACTATGAAATCTGCCTATGACGTCACTTATCTAATAAATAAGTGACGTTGCACATGTGCAGTATAGGTATCTATATATACAAAACTTAATATTTGAATAACTTCCGGAATAATAATATTTGGGCGAAATAAAAAAAAAGTAACAATTTTTTTTCGATTTCCTACAATTTGCAATAAACAATAATCAATTTAATTTTCCATGCAAGTACCCTATTGCTTATCGGTTTCGTTTCTGCTAATCGCCGCCATATTGGTGTGTCACCATTTCCGACGTCATAAATAAGTCGTTAGCTGTTTGCACTAGTCGTCGTAGTGTAGAATTTAAAATGAAGAAAATTATTATTTAATTTTGAATAACGTAATAGGCAAAGAGGAAGATGAAAACGATATCTAAAAAAGAGTTGTTTTAGATTGTTATTTAATGTAATGAAATCAAGTATGCATAAAGCAAGAGCCCGCGGAATCATAACCTGTAGTGCAAACAGCCTACGTCAAGGCGAGAAACAAACATGCTGCCTACGTCACAACTGGTGATTTGACGTGGTGGGGGGCTTCAGATTTGTTCCACACAGGCCTTATGAGGATCGGCTATCCTGTAGTAATAGTGTGTATTATCCTTGGTAACTAAATAGGTAAGTAAGCAAAAGTTTAAATGATTTTCGTATATTCTTGGTTACACTCTGGTTTCGTAAGACATTATTTTGAGATTGAGAATCGTACGAATATGTTATTCGACTACTACCTCAGATGGGGCCCCGGAGCCTCTGGGCCCGGGGGCCACGGCCCCCTCTGCTCTCTCGGTAGTTACGCCACTGAATGCGAAGGGTATGGCTCATTACCATATTCCGAGAGAGCATTTTCTAACGAACAATTTAGTACCACACAATCGCTAGTTTATTCAAATATTGAACTGAAATTTTCCAAAAATATTTAGAATGCTAGGAAAATTCTTCATTTGAGTGATGAACTAGCGATTGTGTGGTACTGAGTTTGCCAAATGTCATTTGTCAAAATTGGGATCCACAAAATCAGACAGGATAGTCGCAAAAGAAAGGGAAATCCACGGCCTATCAAGTATACAAAGTAATCCACGTTCAAGTTCAGTTTGCGGAAACTGTTTGCCTCCAAAATAATCCACCGCCCTCTCCATAGTGAAATTCTCCAAATGAAGTAGTAACTTTTCCTACATTTTCTTTCCAATTTCAAATTGTTAAATCAGTGGCGGATCCAGAGGTGTTTTTTTTTTTTTGAGTGGGGGGCACTAAACCTGACAACGTGGTCATCTAGCAGCCGCCGGGGGCTTATCGCCGGGGGCTAATCGCCGGGGGCTAATCGCCGGGGGCTAATCGCCGGGGGCTAATCGCCGGGGGATAATCGCCGGGGGCTAATCGCCGGGGGCTAATCGCCGGGGGCTAATCGCCGGGGGCTAATCGCCGGGGGCTAATCGCCGGGGGCTAATCGCCGGGGGCTAATCGCCGGGGGCTAATCGCCGGGGGCTAATCGCCGGGGGCTAATCGCCGGGGGCTAATCGCCGGGGGCTAATCGCCGGGGGCTAATCGCCGGGGGCTAATCGCCGGGGGCTAATCGCCGGGGGCTAATCGCCGGGGGCTAATCGCCGGGGGCTAATCGCCGGGGGCTAATCGCCGGGGGCTAATCGCCGGGGGCTAATCGCCGGGGGCTAATCGCCGGGGGCTAATCGCCGGGGGCTAATCGCCGGGGGCTAATCGCCGGGGGCTAATCGCCGGGGGCTAATCGCCGGGGGCTAATCGCCGGGGGCTAATCGCCGGGGGCTAATCGCCGGGGGCTAATCGCCGGGGGCTAATCGCCGGGGGCTAATCGCCGGGGGCTAATCGCCGGGGGCTAATCGCCGGGGGCTAATCGCCGGGGGCTAATCGCCGGGGGCTAATCGCCGGGGGCTAATCGCCGGGGGCTAATCGCCGGGGGCTAATCGCCGGGGGCTAATCGCCGGGGGCTAATCGCCGGGGGCTAATCGCCGGGGGCTAATCGCCGGGGGCTAATCGCCGGGGGCTAATCGCCGGGGGCTAATCGCCGGGGGCTAATCGCCGGGGGCTAATCGCCGGGGGCTAATCGCCGGGGGCTAATCGCCGGGGGCTAATCGCCGGGGGCTAATCGCCGGGGGCTAATCGCCGGGGGCTAATCGCCGGGGGCTAATCGCCGGGGGCTAATCGCCGGGGGCTAATCGCCGGGGGCTAATCGCCGGGGGCTAATCGCCGGGGGCTAATCGCCGGGGGCTAATCGCCGGGGGCTAATCGCCGGGGGCTAATCGCCGGGGGCTAATCGCCGGGGGCTAATCGCCGGGGGCTAATCGCCGGGGGCTAATCGCCGGGGGCTAATCGCC